TTTTGCGAGAATGTAAAGATAAATGAGAGTGAGTGAGAAATATAAATGTTAGTGTTTGAAGCGCTATGAGACCGTGTGGCTGTGTGGACTGTGATCCTACGGACGGCCGAGATTAAAATATGGTAAGCACATTTAAATAAATATTTGTGGTTTTATTTTATTCCTTTTACACAGTTCAAGAGAATTGCCACTTAAAATACTCTTCCACACCTTCTAATCTAATTGTAAACAAAACTGAATATGACAACAGGCAAGGCTTCCCCTAATCTGCTCCCGCCTCACGTGCACCGAACCTAAAATAAAATTGTACCCCATCTAGAGCTCTGCTACCAAGCTCCCCTCATCTTCAGGCTGTTAAACTACCTTTGTGTTGCGGAGTAGCCCAAAATACATACAGAAACACCTACAGGTCACAGAATACATTCGCTCCTGATGCAATGCTCTTACCCGTTCTGACTCATTCCTTTTTACTCTTAACAAATTTCATCTACACGTAATTATATATATTATTCAACACAGTCTTACTAAAATCGCACTTGTTATCGAAATAAACACTAAGGTAGCCTGAGCATGCTATCATTCAACCACTCGTTCGTTCGCTCCCTCTCACTCACCATTCTACACTCCTAGTAACAGTTACAAAGGACACAACTTCCTTTCTGAAACAGACACACTTAAAAGATAACACTTTTATCCTTCATGGCACACTTCTCTTGAACCATATCAACGCCAGGAGCCCTAGCGAGAGACATACCAAGTGGAAAGAAAGATTGACTGCCCGTTCTCAACTGCGAACGGGAGCCGATAGCTGTGCCACTAGCATTGCCATCTGCGATCTACTGCATGTGTTTTATCATGAGGCTAGGGATATGTGTGAAGCGGAGAATAATAATATTTACAACAGGGTAAGCGTCATCAGCCGCCCGGATGAGGCGGACGGCTGGCTAGGGAGCGTAGAGGGGGAGCGGGAGGGTTAGGGGGGGGGGGAGAAGGCAAGGGAGGGGAGGAGAGGGGAGCCGAACCGCGTCTGGTCGACCACAGAATTAGCCACCATGTCCCCTAAGCACCGCAAGGGCTTAGCTGACTCACGACTTTCGCCTCTAAGTGAAACAAAGGTTTAAGGGCTGTAAATGTTCCTTTGTCGTAGGTTGTCTCCACTCGTACCATTGTAAGCATTTCCGATTTCCCCGGCTTATTTTTGTTGTTCAGTGAAAGAAAGTAATCAGGTTTTCCCAGAACCTGGCGTTAATGGACGTCAGCAGCAACGGCCCCTGGCACACTTAGGGGCTGATACGGCAGCAGCATTCGGTCGCAGCTTTAGACAAAGTTCTTTATGGTCAAAGTTACCGAGCGATCAGCTGCCGCTATCTGATAGAAACGTTTAATGAATATCGTGATTGACATTGCGTATGAAGACATTTGTGTGTGGGCTACATTAGGCAAATTTCTCAAAAGTATTGGTAATGAACTTGAAAACCGTACAGAATGTGACATCATTATATATCTCCAAAGTGTAGGCTGACAGCGTAACGCCCTCGGGTTGTGAGGTTCCTGTCAGCCTGATAAGAGCCGGCAGGTCCTCCCTCCACCACTCTGGGTTCCTGCTGACACTTTCTTGTATCCATATCCGCCTATGCACTTGCTCAATTATAAATGTTTTATTTGTCAACTCCTGCCATTTCGATATGTGGTATTACCATATCAACGCCAGGAGCCCTAGCGAGAGACATACCAAGTGGAAAGAAAGATTGACTGCCCGTTCTCAACTGCGAACGGGAGCCGATAGCTGTGCCACTAGCATTGCCATCTGCGATCTACTGCATGTGTTTTATCATGAGGCTAGGGATATGTGTGAAGCGGAGAATAATAATATTTACAACAGGGTAAGCGTCATCAGCCGCCCGGATGAGGCGGACGGCTGGCTAGGGAGCGTAGAGGGGGAGCGGGAGGGTTAGGGGGGGGGGGAGAAGGCAAGGGAGGGGAGGAGAGGGGAGCCGAACCGCGTCTGGTCGACCACAGAATTAGCCACCATGTCCCCTAAGCACCGCAGGGCTTAGCTGACTCACGACTTTCGCCTCTAAGTGAAACAAAGGTTTAAGGGCTGTAAATGTTCCTTTGTCGTAGGTTGTCTCCACTCGTACCATTGTAAGCATTTCCGATTTCCCCGGCTTATTTTTGTTGTTCAGTGAAAGAAAGTAATCAGGTTTTCCCAGAACCTGGCGTTAATGGACGTCAGCAGCAACGGCCCCTGGCACACTTAGGGGCTGATACGGCAGCAGCATTCGGTCGCAGCTTTAGACAAAGTTCTTTATGGTCAAAGTTACCGAGCGATCAGCTGCCGCTATCTGATAGAAACGTTTAATGAATATCGTGATTGACATTGCGTATGAAGACATTTGTGTGTGGGCTACATTAGGCAAATTTCTCAAAAGTATTGGTAATGAACTTGAAAACCGTACAGAATGTGACATCATTATATATCTCCAAAGTGTAGGCTGACAGCGTAACGCCCTCGGGTTGTGAGGTTCCTGTCAGCCTGATAAGAGCCGGCAGGTCCTCCCTCCACCACTCTGGGTTCCTGCTGACACTTTCTTGTATCCATATCCGCCTATGCACTTGCTCAATTATAAATGTTTTATTTGTCAACTCCTGCCATTTCGATATGTGTAAAATGATTAAATTTCTCTTGCTATGTCCTGTGTTATAAACCTCCAGCGTTAATAGTGTAGTCAATGGCTTCAAATGTTCTATTCAGTGTAGTGTTTGGGGGTTAATAATAATATCCTAGCATGCGTGCACCACCACCATCTTACTTCTTAATAATCATTCCATCTCGGGGTTTATTTACGTGCACCTCCGGCCGCCCCTGGACGTGGCGTGGCCGCGGGGTCCACGCAGACGTCGCGAGTTATTATATTTACACCCCGTCAAGACCTCCACCAGCACCTTTGAGCAAGGACCGTGAAGAGGGGCCGCGCCGCGTCGCACTTGGCGCCCTCTTAACATGATTAGTTGAGCAACTACATACCCGCCACCGAGATACCAGTATATACATAGATATATGCATGTACAAAAATTAAAGGAAAAGAACTTGCATAAAACCGAGGTCTCTTACTGTACAGATGTACTGTCCATTCAAAATTGTATGTAGACCTATATAATAAGACTAGAAAATGTAAGCGTAAGATACCTCTTGTTTTATATCAAGTGTGGATAGGTAAAACTGGAAGTTTTAATCACTGATTATTTTATTTATGTTTCCCAAGTTTTGTACATTATAAGATTATGTTTAGCATGTTGAGGAAACAATACAGTTCTAATGGCAGTAGCCAGTCATGCATCCCTTCACCTCTAGTTCATCATACAATAAGGTTTAAAGTCCCGAAATCTCGGAGAAATATATTAAACATAAATTAAGAATCTGGGCTTATTCTAACCTTCCACTGGACAATAAATACATTATCAGTTCCTTATGCAAATGAGCAAGTAACGCGTATACTTCCGCGTCAACAGAAATATGACAAGGCTTACTAAATGTAATTTATATCCAGACGTTAATCATACAAAAATAACAAGATTATTCAGTAGTTATTTTGCTCAATAAAACAATCCAGGGAAAGTCTAAATTGTAAATATCTAAAATATAATAAGATAAAGAAATAAAATACAGCCAACATCTATGATAAAGCACCAAACACATACAAGGTCAACTGGTTCATGTCTTCCTTTTCAACTCTTTTTATCATGGAAATATTTACTACATTTGATAAATCACTTTCACGCTAGATATGTTTGCTTTGATGTGACTTTCCAGACAGTAAACAGAAGAGGAAATAGCGGATTTAATTGGATGAAATTGGTAACAATGCAGCAGCAACAGTAATAAATCCGTTTTCTTTTTCTGTTCACAGCAGGAAGCAACGAATATTTTCTAAAATCCCTCATCTACTCATTTTCACTTTTCCATGCACATATTTACCATTTGCTTATTGTGTCTCTTGAAAAAGACAAATAAAATAACAATAAATAAATCACAAACATAGATAGACTCAAAATATGAGGATAAATGATATTGCTGGCATCCTTCGTCACCGCTCTTGAATCACACCTGGGATGCCATAACAGCGTGATTTATCCTATTTTTGAGTCGTATATGGCCACACGGGCCGCCTACTGTCAACGGCACACAAAGGAAGGGGTGTGACTAAGGGGAGACACTTTTGGCGCGATGTGGGGGAAGGGCACCAGGGGAGGGAAACATCGGTATTACTGGCAGAGGGGACTTTCTACTTTCCTTGTGATCCGTGGTTGCTGGCCTCGTCCAGGGGCTCGTCAGGCAGCGGCAGCAGCAGCACCTTCGTTTAAGCAGGTGGTTTCATGGTTTATTAACAATCTACACTGACAGTGATCCTTCATGTATGGACATGCGCCCTCGACCAGCAAGCACGGGGACAAGGCCTCCCTCCCTCCCTCTCACACCGCGCCAGGGGAGGTGGGGGACCTCCCTCCCCCTCACACACTGACCAGGAGGGGGGACAAGGCATCCCTACAGGACGCTGGCTTAATCGGCCTTACTTTTAACCGTGAGCATGGCGGAGGTCTCTGCCTGCCCCGCAGAGTTGGTGGCACGGCAGGTGAAGATGCCGGTGTCCTCCGGGTAAGTCAGCTTGATGTCCAGGACGGCGGTGTTGCCCTCCATGAACATCTGTAATGGCAAAGGAGAGATCATCCTGATTAATCCATTTCCATGGTGATGTAAACTGTAATACTTTGAACATCTGAGTACACACACACACACACATATATATATATATATATATATATATATATATATATATATATATATATATATATATATATATATATATATATATATATATACATACATATATTTTTTCACCTATTCTAGAGAAATAACAAATTTAGAAATATAATTATGTTTAATAAAAAAGTAATAAAGATGAAAATGAAGCGATGAAACACTTTAGAGTATTTATTAT